AGTAGTAGAAAGCCAAAAACTCTCTTTCCCAAAAATTAATCACTCCTAAAAATATAACCCCTTCAATTCAAACGATTCCAGTTGAAAGAAAATATGATTTATTGCATAATCCTTGGATTCCGAATGATACGTACAATTTCAAACTCGACTCAATCAACGCTAAATCAACATCTAGGCCAATTTATTAGAGAGTGGTTTCTTTAATCGGTATGAGTGGATTGGTTATTCGAAAAAACTGAAGGGTGCACGTTGTAAATATTGCGTACTATTTCGACCACTGGTGAAACGAGATGTATGTAATTTTGAGCATATTCATGAAAGTGCAAAAAAGTATGAAGATTCAGAATGACACAGGTACTCAAAAAAACAAAGCGATTTCATTTCAAAATATATTTTCTGGACGGTCTTCTACAATATCTGAACTGATTAATTCTTCAGAGAAAAAAACTGATTCAAGAAAATAGGGAGAAGTTGGCATCAATAATATAGTTATTGTTGAAGCACTGAAGGAAACTCCTTGAGGGGCTCTCAGAACGGTGCCCGTGCGAAAGTAGTGATTCACATTGGATTTGAATTGCTGGCAATTGAATCCATTTGAAAAAACGTTCTCAGAAAGTTTATTCCACATAAACGCAATTCTCCAGATGAAAGAGTTCTTGAACAGTGAAGTTCGAGGTGTGCTGAGTTGAACCTCAAAACGATGAGCAGCCACATTCCGTCGCGAATTTATGATATGTACCTACCGCTCTTGGTGGAATCAAATGTGCTAAGTCACATGAACACTTCCCGTGAAAGTATCTATAGAAGAGAGACGAATCTCCAAACTTTCTTCGATTTTCCAGCCTATCAAGGTTGCACGTGATGTTCGCGTCTCCAATCAGGCGGATGGATATCTTTTCTGGATGGAATTCAGCAACTTCAGGGTATGTTTGGGGGCAGAGCTCCATACATGAGAACAATACTCCAAAAAAAAGGTCTGATCTGAGCTTTATAAAGCATCAAAAGTTGCTGAGGTGTGTACAGCTTTCTGGTTCAGAACAGTGTTCCAAGCATCTTCTTGCAGCGATAAATTTTAGATGAGGCATGGTGAGATGAACTCAAAGACTGCTTTCACAGGAAGAAATGTGTTTGGTTTCAAAGATATCGATTTGGTCTCTGAACCATTATCGAAGAGATCCCGATCTACAAAAAATTCATCTTTTTTAACACTATTTCACGAGATACTTGGACCATCCACTTGTATTGTCATAAAATACCTAAAACAATATTGAAATCTTGAACTGCCTGCTCCCAAGCAATCAAACGTGTACAACTCAAGTATCAACAACTAAAATATCGTTCAAAATAGAGCACAGATTCTCTGGATGAGGCGCGTCCAAAACGGCGTTGTTTCTTTGCATAATTATCCGGTCAAATTAGACTAAAAAATAAGAGTGAAGGTACATAAATTTACAACAAGCCGCAAACGCGTGTAATTGTTCAAAACATAGTTAAAAGTAAGATTTTGAAATTCCGAATGATTGCGATGCCTGGAAAAAAATTTTTCGAGGTCAAAGGTCAAAAATCTCGAAAAAAATTGGTTTTTCGCGATTTTCAGGAAAACGGTGAGTTTAATCATAAAATAACATACGATAAAAATTGTAGACCATAAAATT